ACTGTTTCGCGCACGCACAAAGCCAAAAGGAAACAATTGGCTGGAGGAAGAACCGAGAGCCTGGGTGCCAACCGTCAGCTCAGTATCTAGAGAAGCGCGGAAACCCTCAGCCAAGGAAACAGCAAAATGCTGAAAGTCCAAGCAATTCCCAAAAGCCAGAAGTGGGACTTGAGCCGAGGAAAGGGGACGGCGACCGGAAGGTGAGGACAAAGGACACTGCAATGTCGTCCGCAGTACCCGGCAGGGAGGAAAACAGAAGTCCAGGACAGAGGGCGAGCGAAGTCTGAAATGACCGAGGCAGGTGAGATGTATTTGGCTGCATCCCGGTGCGTTGCATGGCTCGAGGGGACAGGCCTCCGAGGTGGCAAAGTCAGACAGCAAAGTCAAAGTAGACTGTACAGCACACCCATCTGTACAACCTACAACTGCCACAAAAAGGTGAATCTGCACGACCCACTCGTCAACACTGGCTATGCGACCATACGGAAAGCATTGGCCGAGGGGACTCGGGGTAGTGGACTTCGCCCAAGAAGTCGCGCTACTCTCACAGCCCTCCAACCTGCATAGCCGAAAGTCATACAGCCATTGCTGGGAGGGGTCCTGCCTAAAGTCAAGTGTTACTCCAACTTGCCCAGTCCTGGCGAATGATCCCCAGGAAGCCCTGAAGCCACGAGCTCGTCGGGGTCGTCGTGGATGATGCCCTGCCTGGGTTCCGACGGTCGAGCATCGGAAGGCGCAGCCGGCGGCTCCACAGTGGCATCGGGACTTAATCTGCCCAAACCAAAGGGCGCCATAGCCTGGCGACAGGCCCTGCGCTTGTCAGAGAGCTTGGCTGCAAGGGCACTTTGCCCCTGCGAAGGAGCATTCGGCATGGCTCTCGGATCCAAGGCGTTGGCAGCATGGGCCCTTACCACTGCATCCGCCAGTCCCGGCGGCGTCGGGTAAGCGTCGGACACAGCAAGCGCATCCCTTTCCGTCCCGGCCATACGGCTCCCGGAGTCGGAGAACGGGGAGGAGCCCCAGTTCCTCGCTTCGGGGTAACCTCTGCAGCTCGAAGCATCCTGTTGAGCTCGATCCTGGTTTGCTCTTCGGTGAGATCGTCGTCGATCTCCATGGCCTCTTCCCACTCCAAGGGTGGGGGCTCGATCCTCTCGACTGCCTTTTGGTGCATAGCAGCTTGTTGTACGTTGACGTAGGCTGCGTGAGTCATCTCCTCTAGTTCTCTGATATCCGTAGCCAGGCGTTTTTGCTCTGCCCGGTGCCTTTCCAGCTCTCGTGCATAGGTGGATCGCATCTCGCGAACCCATGTGTCCCATGCGTTCCCTTTTTTCAGGGATTCTTGCTGTAGTTGGTGTAGTCGCTGCTCCACTTTCCGGGCCTGGTTGATTGCAGCTTGAACGTCTTGGACGATGCCTCCACGGGCCGTCCCTCCAGCACTGGTTGCGGACGAACTTACCTCCATAAGTTCCGCAGACTGCTTCCAACCGGCGTCGTACGCCGGGAACGACACCTTCTCGGACTTCGAACTCTGCCGGGGCGAAGACTTCCACGTACCAGACCAAAAGGCCCAGGATCGGGACTGCCCATTTTCCCCAGGCTGTCCGCCTCCCTGGTTGGCTTGGCGCCCTTGCGTTCCTTGTTGGCGCCATGGTCGTCCGTCAGCTCGGTTCTTCCCTCTTCCCATACGTGCCGTAAGTGCAGCCGCAAAGGAAGTGGAAGTAGCGTGATGACGTTGCAAAGCCTGAACCTGTCGGTGGGAGAGGGGCTTGTTGTTGCGGAACGCCTTCCGAGCCTTAGAGCGTAAAAGACGCTCACGGCGGTGCCAAGCGGGAGATGGCGGCGCACCGAGTCTACCGGCCACTGCTACGGCCGTTCACGGTGCTGGGGCACCAGCTATCCGCCGCTATTGGCGGTATTCTGAGCCCTATGTCGGGGCCTTAATAACTAGAATCGGGTTGTGGGGCCCATGATACTATAATACTAATAATAATAATAATAATGAGCCCCCAAAATAGTATAGGCAATT